AAATGTGTCGTTTATCATGTACATTTATAATAAATGTGTCGTTTATCGTGTACATTTATAATAAATGTGTTGTTCATCATGTACATTTAAAGACAGAAACATTTAATCTGAACACTCCCTGTCAGGATTATTAACCTGAGCCATGTTCACCGTGGATTGACAGAACGTTGCTTCCATTTCCTTAATCCCACACCTAAGTTTATAAAAACCTTAATCTGGTCAATTTCACGAACAAGTTCAATAAATTATGATAAATAAATCGTGTGGCACCTTCAGAGTGCTAGATTTTAGTATTTTAGTACTGTGTTGCAACAATTACACTGATTTGACAAAGGTATTCACTGAGCAAGTAAACACAAGTATTTGTTTCTCCTGATAAAATCCCTTACCGAACAGTCTGGATTATCCGGAGAAACCCCGTCCTGGTCTCTTGTAGCTTCGCACGCTCTGGACTCCAGCTCCGTGCACTTCCTCTTATTTTCACAGCAACAAGGGCGGAAAAAACCTGCAGGGCACCCCCCGCCCCCCCCGCCCCCCCCCGTCTGCTCTCTGCGTCCAGTGTGGATCCGCGGCTGATGACTCCGCCCAGTCCGGCTGAAACCACGCCCACAACCACAACCTACCACGGATTTGATTGGTTCATAAGCTCCACCCTCTGTTAGCCGATTGGCTAAGACAGCCGCCACTCACGCGACTGCTCGGGAACGAAGATCACCTGTTGCCCAGATTATCTGTCACACCATGTTCAGTTAACGCCTCTAATTCGTAAACGTTGTCTTTCTTAAACGCAGCACCGATGTATTCCTTTACGTCTAATACACCTTTCTCTGTATAAAACAAGAAAAGCTACTTTCCAGTTTACATTTCCAGTAAAGAATCCGTAAATATGGACATGTAGCGGGGCTAGATGCTGACGGTACATTAAGCTAGTAGCCGCACGAGACATTGCGTCTTCGCGTAGGGACTTACCGCTGATTGCGCTCGAGGAATCCGCTGTTTTATTCTTCCGTGCCGTGCGTGAGACCGAGGAGCCAGAAGGGAAGGGTGCAAACTGCCGGTGTGTCCGCAGGAACAGCGCCGCCCGCCCCATTCTTCCGCATGTTTTTGTTCAAAACGATTGGTCGGAGAGCGGGAACAGCGCCGCACTCTGCCGCCGGGCCTCAGTGGAGGATAAAAGAAACGCACCCTGGCGTTCAGCCGCCGACTTGCTGTTTCTGTTTATTACTCTTCAATTAATAATCAAAGTCTTCATCATTACTGTCCCTCAGACACACCTGTAAATAATTCATTTGAATGATTATGTTGCGTGTGTGTGTCTGTTGGAAAATTATCTCATGAACCACAGGACAAGTTTTAATAAAACTTGTAAAACGCAACCTTTGATCTTATGGAGCTGCCAACACAATTAACATGTCTGCCACATCTAACCCACTTTAAACAACAGAAAATTACTATTTAACTCTGTCACCTTTACAAATATTAAGCTAATAATTATAGAGGTAGCTGAGACTGACCCCCAGACACATTCTGAGCACGAATAACTGCGCAAGATGCTTGATTTTGCTTTTTGCAATCGTTATATCTGTTAGCAAAATATCTTATGGACCACGTGAGATGTTTTAATTAAACTTTCAGGAGTTGATCACTGGATGTACCACTGCAACTGAGTAATCTTTGGAACCAGCCCAATGTAAGATGGCTGCCGCAGCCAACTCAACAGAAATACAAAGACGCACAAATGACTTTAATTTAGTACATTTTCTAAAATTTGGTGATTAGTTGAGTCATTCATAACCCATACTCCAAGTATTTCTTTAGCTGTAAACTTTATGGATAAATTCAAATCAACCCTGTTTGTCTGTTAGCAAAATATCCAATGAACTATTGAGTGATTTGTTTTAATGAAACTTTAAGGAAGTGATCACTGGATGATCATCTACAACTGATTAACTTTTGGAGACGGTCCAATTAAAGATGGCCGCCACAGTTAATCAGCATAATCCAGCACATAGTGTAAGTGCAGCTCAGTCCATTTTACAGAGACTGAGCTAAAGTGTGGTGTGGTAGTAGCTGAGAGTCATTCACAGCAAACTCTGAGAGTGAACGTTTCAAAGTTTGACAAAAGTGGCAACAACTTCTGTTTTTAGCACGAGGTCTGAGTAAACTGCATCCCTTTAGGCCTTGATGGTCTGCAGGAGTTAAAGAGATAAGAATAGAAGAAACTGCTTTATCCTCACATTTCTGATATTCCTTTCATTTTATATTTAGCCCCAGAGTTCTGCAGCCGACCCATTAAACACATCTGAGCAGCTATGTCAGACACGCCTGACGTGCACGCTTCACATGTTCAGCTGCTGAGGGCCGCTGAGCTTCATGACGCTGCGGTCCAGTGGAACCGGCGGCTGTCACGGCACGTCCTGCACTGCGTGATGGACCTTTAATAGTTTTCAGTACCTGGATGGACACGATGATAACTACAAACAGTGTGGCACTAGAACAGAGACCCAAGCACAAAAACATGCTCCAACATGGTACGAACATTCAGATAACCAGGATAATAAATATGGATTTTATTGAAATGTTGCTTTTCTGCACAAAAAGACACACTGTGTCAATTTAGCTCTATTTCACCATGAATACTTTTTCTAAATCAAATAAAAGGAGCAAAATGTTGATTTTATACATTTGACAGGAAGTAAACGAGTTAGAGATTAAAGCTTCATCTCACTGATTAATCTACCTGATCAAATACAGGAAAAATTAATATGTAGGGTTTTTATTTTTATGTTTTGTCTTTAGCTGCAGTTAGCTTTAAGCAGCTATTAAATTTTTGTCTTTATTGCCACCTGGTGTTCAAACCAAATATAATATTAAATTAACATTAACTTGTTAAATTTAACAAAATACAAATAACTGAATGTTTCCCATACCACGAACTAAACACATTAAACTCATTTAAAATTATTAATAATAATAATAATACACACAAATTCACTGAAAAAAAATAAATTTTCCTTGGGAGACTAACACTTTAGAATATTAAAGTCATTTAAAATAAAATTGATAAAACTTTCAATTGAAAAAATAAAATAATAAAGTATATATAGTTTATTATGACATTGAAAACAATATATTTTGTAAATAAACTTAAAATATTACAATTAATGTTCACCGTGTTATTATTAGGTTAAATGTTCATCATGACACAAAACTCAGTGACACAAGAAACTCGTTGAAATAATAGAAACTGAATAAAAGCATTAAACACAATTAAAAAGCAGGCGGAGTTGTATGAGCTGCATGGACCGTCATGTTTCCAATGTCCTTAAAAACCCTACATGTTCAAAATCTACAACTTCTGCAGTAAAATCCTTTGAACTCTAAATTCTTCTTGTCTTTATAAAAAGATGAACTTGAGACTAACGTGGCCTTCGTTTGCTTTGAGGAGATTCTCTTCAGATCAGAGTAAGAGAAGCTTTTTATACGAGTTAAGAGCTTTTCAAGAGGCGACATTTATTTTAAATCATTTTTAATCACACGTGTCATTGTGGACACGTGACTGTTAATGAAGTGGTCTCACCTTTTATTTCTGTTTAATGTTTGATTTAAGACTTCGTGATGGACAAGAACTGAAATAATGTACAAAAAGTGGATTGTTAGGTGTTGTTGTAATTTAAAACAACTGATTCTTGAAACTGTAAGACACATTTTGAAATTGTTCAGATGTATAAATGTTCATGTTTGTCCAAAATGTCCCGAGTAAGTGAAAAGATGCCTTTAGTTCCTGAAGGCGACATTTTAATTCTCTTTGAAAAGACGAGAATAACCTGAACCTTGTTAGTTCCTGTGAGATGTTTGGATGTCCACATGATGGCAGCAGATGTTCTGCAGCTGGGACCGGTCAGTTTGAACAGAGAATACAAGTAAACCTTTTTGTTTTTTTATAAAAGATATTCAAGTGAGTTACACTGTGCATAAAAACAGAATTTTATTTTACTTTTTGCTTGTCCAAGACCTAAAGACTGTCGAGCAGAGGGAGCGAGTTTATCCACCACCAGGTACAATGGTGGAGCCAGGGGGTGGCCAATGGTGGCCTTGCCCACAATAGATTAATCTTCAGCCACCCCAATCATTTGAGAAAACTATACTTTAATGCAATATAAAAAGTACAAAACATTGTTTCCTGGAATGAGTGGTATCTTTCTATCTATCTATCTATCTATCTATCTATCTATCTATCTATCTATCTATCTATCTATCTATCTATCTATCTATCTATCTATCTATCTATCTATCTATCTATCTATCTATCTATCTATCTATCTATCTATCTATCTATCTATCTATCTATCTATCTATCTATCTATCTATCTATCTATCTATCTATCTATC